CCACTTGCCTGTGGTCTGTAAGGAGTATGCAGTTGCCAATCTATCTTTAGAATCTTACTTATCTGCTGTACCACTTGCACACAAAAAATGTGAAACTATCAGAAGACATTGCTACTAGAATCCCAAAGCATGGTATTATTTCATTTAACAAGACTTTAACCACTTCTCTTGCTTTGTTTGTTCGACAGGGAAAGGCTTCAGGCCTTTCTGAAATGTGTCAGTCAGAACCAGTAAATAACGATACCCCCCTTTTCTAGGGAGTTCTGAAAAATCAATTTGCCACTGTTGCCATGAATAATTTCCTTTACCGATTATTCCAAATTTTATTCTCTTCTTGGTATTGGGGTTATTGTGTAAGCAAATGCTACATTGTTGAGTTACTTGTTTTTATCGTATCATCCCACTAATGTCTGACTCGGGCTCTTATGCAGTGTGCCAGCTCCCCAATGTGTTTTATTGTGTTCTGTAAGAACTATGGGCCATGCCAAATTAGAGGGTATTATTATGCGGTTATCTTTTAAATATACTCATCCATCTGGTTTCATTTTACCTTTCAAATCTTCAATTCATTTTAAGTCTTCTTTTGTATGGTTTGGATATAGTTTGGATTTTACTGTCTGGTATCAAAGACAATGCCTTCACCTCAGTTATTTCAGCTGCCCGCTTAGCCTCTGCCAAGCGATTTCCAATTTCAAAATCAGTATTCCCCTTCTGGTGTCCCTGACAATGCATGATAGCTACCTTTTCGGGTTGTTTTACAGCCTCTAACAACTTTAAAATTTCTTCAGCATACGTTATGTGTTATCACTGAGCGGTCAGCAATCCATGTTCTTTCCAAATTGCTCCATGAGCATGTATCATGCCGAATGTATATTTAGAATCTGTCCAAGTATTTATTTTCCTTCCTGCTGCTAGTTCCAGTGCTCACGTAAGAGCAATTATCTCTGCTTTCTGGGTGGATGTCCCAGGGGGTAATGGTTTGGACTCGATTACCTGTTGAGTGGTTGTAATGGCGTACCCTGCCTTACATTGTCCTTGTTTCACAAAGCTGCTTCCATCAGTATACCAAGATTCGTCAGCATCTTCTAAAGATTCTTCCTTAAAATCGGGTTGATTAGAATACACAGTCTCCATTGTTTCTATACAACCATGGGTTATGGGTTCATCCAGAGTTCTACTAAGGAAAGAAGCTGGATTTACGATGTTAGTGACCACAGTTTCCACATCATCTTGTTCTACTAATATTGCTTGATATTTTAAATTCATCAATTCTTGTTTAAGTTGTTTAAAGACTTTTGTGCTTCTCCAGTCCAGACTAACTTTGACTGGTTAATCTTTATCAAATCACATAGAGGCTTCACCAATAGTCCATAATTATAAATCCAAAGGCGACACCAACCTGTCATTCCTAAAAAGGTTTGTAGCTCCTTTACCGTTTGAGGTTCTGAAGTCCGGCAAATGACTTCCTTATGTTCAGTTCCTAGTTGTCGTTGTCCTCCCGAAATTTCAAATCCCAGATAGGTCACACTTTGTTGAGCCAGCTGGACTTTCTGTCAAGAGACTTGATATCCATTTAAACCCAGAAAATTAAGAAGACTTATAGTCCATTGAATGCAACTCCCTTTAGTCTCGGTAGCTATTAAGAGATCATCTACATATTGTAACAAAGCACCTTCAGTGTCCGGAGGCATCCAAGTTTCGAGTTCCCTTGCTAATTGGTTTCCAAAATAGTGGGGCTATTCTCGAATCCTTGAGGTAGTACTGTCCACGTCAGCTGCGTCTTTCTGCCTGAATCGGGATTTTCCCATTCAAAGGCAAATAGGTTTTGGCTTTCTGTGGCTAAGGCTAGGCAGAAGAAGGCGTCTTTTAAATCCAGTACGGTAAACCAGACTTGACTATTCTTTAATTTAGTCAGCAAAGTATAAGGGTTTGCCACTACTGGATGTATATCCTCGGTGATTTTATTTATGGCCCTCAAATCCTGAACTAACCTATAGCTTTTTCATCTGCCTTTTTAATTGGCAATATGGGTGTATTGTATTCTGATTCGCATTCAATCAATAATCCATACTGTAAAAATTTATCAATTATCTCTTTAATTTCCTTTCCTATCTTCTATCCTCAAAGGATATTACTTAACCTTAATGGGTTTCTCTCCTGGCTTTAATTTAATAATTATTAAGGTCACATTTTTAGCTCTTCCAGGGACTTCGGTAGCCCAAGCTCCTGGACATACTTGATCTGTGATCTCTAAAGGTATTTCACTTTTAGGGTCAGTTTGTATTAGTGCCAAGCTTAACACATTTATTAGTTGTTCTTCTCCTATTCTTAATTCCATTTTCTCTTTTTCAAAGACAATTTCTGCTCCTAATTGCTCTAATAAATCTCTACCTAAGAGTGCCCATGGGGAGTTAGTTAGGCATATATAAAAATCTGTGTATGCCCCATTGTTTCCCTAACTTGTACTTCAAAGGTTCACAAAAATAAGCCTTTTCAGTTACACCTTTTACCCTAACATAATCATTCTGTAAAGGCATTAATGCTTGATTTAGAACTGAATACGTTGCCCCATATCAATAAGAAATTGCACTTCCATTCCTCCCCTAGCTTCATTCTAACCAGTGGAGGATCCGCTAGGATAGATTCCCCAGGTCCCCGTTATTCCTGTTGAAATCAGGGACCAATGATTACCCTAGAAAAAGGCTAGTCAATTTGTCCTCCGAAGCCAGGTCCAAACCGTTTTGTTTTATTTATTTATTTATTTTCATTACATTTCAGAGCTGGTCCAAAAATTCCATAGGGGTTTCGTTTAGACCTTGTTGGAAGCATATTCTCAATTCCCAATTCATCCAGATTTTAGTATTTACTTAGCCGTTCGTAATTTTCGGGATGATTAGGGTCTCAGTGGGGTCGGTCAGGGGAATGCAATTGTCCACAGTTCCCTGAGCGGTCCCATCGGTAATCTGAGCTCGCACATGAACTCAGGTTGTTTTAAGAATTAACTGCTTTTCTGTTTCCATAACAACTCTCTCTCGGACCCATTGTGATCCCTTTGCCCCAAAGGGCTAACACCCATGATTTTAAGATCTCTGCCTAGAGCAGAGGCAGAACTATTAACATTCCTACATCCTCTTTCCCTGCTCATTCAACTTCAAACACCTTTAACACTTTCAACAACCCTTTTAACACTTCCTTTATCTTTCTCCAGCCTGTGCTTCTCTAATGCCAACATCAAAGGCTCAGTCAGGGGCCAACTTAATTCCGTACCTTTTCCCACCAAGATGCTGAAACAACATCAGCATACAACATTTCATCCTGTTCTCCTTCTCAAAACCAACATTAACTGTAGCAAAACATTAGAGTTGAAAGTTCCACTTAGGGGCCACTTTTCTCCACATTCCAGCTTATAAAGCGGCCACCATTGATTACAATATTTTATCAATGTTTTCCTGTTCCCACTTCCACCGGCAGATCCTCCAATATCCTTCCAGTGACTCAAAACACATCCTAACGCACTTTTCTTTAAAATTTCACTGCTTGTTTGCCCCCCCATTTTCCAGTTCACACTTTCAGAATACACGCATCACTTACAAAAATGTGGGCACGCAGGTATCTTTCAAGAGCGATGTCACGAAACTATTACTATTACCAGGAATATTGCCAAAATCACAATAACAATAATCAGAGTCAAATTCCACATGCAGTAAGTCAGAAAACTGAAATATGTAACACCGTAATGATATCTTTCTTATAACAACGCCACGAACCTCCTATTATCACCAAGAATATAGCCAAAATCACAGTAACAATAACCAGAGTTAAATACCACACTCCAGGAGTCAGAAAACCGAAATAGGCAACACAATTCCAGATGGACCTTAAAGCGAGCTCCTTCCTTAAGGTCCCCAAACATATACTTGTGGTGCTAACCACAAAGTATATACCAAACACTGCCTCGCAGAAGATCACCTGCTGACTTACAGACAGTTCCAGACGACCGGTCTGCCAGAAAACCAAACCAGAATAAAGAATATACTCACTCACAATGATGGGGTCCTTGTGTGCCTCCGCAGTGATCCGCTGAGTCGAGGAGTCCCTCCGGGAAATCCCGGGGGTACCCGAGGGAGTCCTGTCCCCAGCGGGTCCTGCGGTCCGGCAGAGAGGTAGTCCCATCTGGGGTGCCAGATTGATTCAAGGATCGAAGCCGAAATTCCTTGAAGTGGTATATTCTTTATTGCAGCGCTGGATGCACGGGGGATCTCTCCACCTATCGTGCATACCCAAAGCGGAAAGCAGTCTTGAATTTCTACAATCAAGCTCTCAATATTCTACAAGCGCCTATACATATTCATTACCTATCCCCGCCTCCCCTCGCTTCTCATGCTAACTAGCCTTTTGGCACCTTTTGCCTGCGTAGAGCCTCCCAAGAATTGTGGGCAGGGGTCTTTGGGACGTGGGCAGGGGTCTTTGGGAGGAAGACCCCGAGTCTTCCTCACAGTGTACTTTTCACCTTAGGTCAGGAATCTGCTGAGCTGGCATGTTTCTTAATTGCAAGCGCTGGTTGTTGCTAATTCTTCCAGTTGTTGTATCTTTATAATGAATTCCAATGTCCAGTTTTGAGATTTATAGTCCTTCCATTTGTTTCTCTGTCCGTCTGCCGCTTCCTTATCATGAGTTCCAGTGTCTTGTTTCGAGATATACAGTCCTTGTCTGGGGATTGTCCTTGCCTCCCCAATGCCTCCCCAATGCCTCCTTAATCAAAAAACCAAAATCAGGAGGAGGAGAGCTCAGAGACTGCGCCCAGCTGCCCTCGCTTTCCCTTCACCCCAAGCCCTGTTCTACCATCAGCCTTCGCCTCTTCTGCCTGCGGTGCTGGGCTTTCGCGTGCGCCATTGCTCCTGTACATAATTTACATATTTTATCCTTTTTTTTAATATATATTTGTTATCTATTTAATGCCCCCCCCTCCAATAAACCTGCGACCATAGAGACGCGGCCCCCCCCAGCGGTCCTCCAGCATCCCAGCGCCCCTTGCGCGCGCTCCCGCCCGCCCTCAGCGGCTTCCGGCGGTGGCGGCGGAGCGGGTGCGGCGAGGCGGCGGCAGCCATGGGGTACCGCGGGCAGGGCCAGAAGGTGCAGAAGGTGATGGTGCAGCCCATCGTATCCTTCCTGCGGCTGGCGGGTGGCGGGGAGGTGGGTGGGGGGCGGCTCGGACCTCAGGGGGCTCGGATCTGGGGCCCTGGGGGCTCGTCCCGGGCCTTGAGGCCTTGTCCCGGGGCCCTGAGGCCTCGTTGTGGGGTTTGGGGCCTTGTCCCGAGCCCGGAACTGTCGTCCCCGTGCTGAGCCCTTAACGCAGCGCCCCAGAACCTCATCTTCCGCTACCTGCAGAACGTGAGTACCGCGGGGAGGGGGCGGGGATGGGGATTTGGGGGGTGTGGGGGGAGTGGGGAGGGTCTGGGGATTCCCCTCGGTGAGTTCGGCTCCTGGCCGTGTCCCGGGACGGGTTTGTGGGGGATGGAGAGCTGTGCGGCATGCTGGTGGGCACGAGGAGCCCGGCGTTTCCCCCTCGTGTAGCCGGGCGTGCAGGGGTGTTCCCTTGTGACTGGAAACGTGTTCTTCACCAAACGTGTAGCATTCACCCGATGGTATAACGCTCAAACGTCGGATTGCTCATTGAAACTGCCCCTGAGAGTTGCTCCTTGGAGCGTTTGGGAGCTGTCGTGGCTGTGGCTAGCAGGTATTTCTGAACACATGAGAGAACAAAACTGCTCAGTGTTTGTGGCCCGACTTACTCTCCTCCTTGGTTCTGCAGAGGTCGAGGATCCAGGTGTGGCTCTATGAGCAGGTGAACATGCGGATAGAAGGCTGCATCATGGTGAGTATCCGCACGTCCCCACGTTACATCTTTCGTTTTCCCTCATTCACAATCCTGTTTTTTGGTCAAGAAAAGTTATCACAAGGAAAAAAAGAATTGTACTTCTCTAATAAGTAGTCTTCGTTGTCCGGCCAGGATCGGTAAAAATCCCTGCTTGCCGGTAACTAGAGCCCTTCATAGAGCAGCGGGGGGCGGGGGAAAGGCCTCCTGCCCGGCCCGGCTCCCCTCCGCTGCCCTGAGGGGGAGCAGGCCTCGTGTCCGGGCCCTGCGGGTCGTGTCCGGGCCCTGCGGGTCGGGTCAGGGTGCCCTGAGGGGAGGGGAAGGGGGGGGGGTGCAGGCCGCAGGGCCTGGAGGCAGGGCTGGAGGCTGGGGTGTTCCCCCCCCTCTCCCCCCGTATCAGCCCCTTCTGGGCCCTGTGAGGCAGGAGCTGCTGCCCGGGGTTAGGCCCAAGGTCCCCTGTCAGGCCCGGGGCCGCCCTTCCCCTCGCCCTGCCCTTCCCTCCCGCTCCTGAGCCCTTCCTCAGGCCTTGCTGGGCCGTCCATCTGGCTGTCTGTCCATCCATCCAACCCTCTGGCCATCTGTCCCACCACCCTGCCCTCTCCCTAAGGAAGCAAAGAGTCCCCGGGCTGCCTTCATGGGGAGGGGGGAGTGGGGAGGTTCTGCTGAGAAAAAAATGAAAGATTTCCCCCTTAACGGGCGCCTTGCGAGTTATTTCGAGTTCCAACCTTCTGCCTTCCTTCCGTAGCAGTGCCTCTAAGGGGGGTGCTGTAAGGCAGCCCTCATCTGGCGCGTTGCTCCTCCGTTCCCCCAAGGAACTGCCTTCAGGATCTGACTAACTCTGGATGTACCCGGTTGTCGCCTAAATTTCTCCTTTAGCTTGCTGAAAACAACCCGTTTGGGTGACCTTTTGCGTTTCTCGCTTAAAATTTGGATTGAGGAGGTCTGGGTTTCCTTCCGCTGATGTCCACGCTGAAGGTTGCAGAAGGGTTCCGTGCTGTTGCTTGGGTCAGCCTTGTTGCCAGGTTGGGAAGGTTTAGCCTCCCGGTGCTTCGGTGCTGTTGGGCTGCACTCAGAGTGTGAGCTCTGGGCGTTATTCTCAACTACTTGCGTTATTGGAGCGTACAGAGCCGAGATATTCTGGCGGATAGTGTGATTTTAAGCCACGTCAGAACCACCGCTGTGGCGTGTGCCAGCGTCGGACGCCCGTTCGACTGCTCGAAGAGCTAGGCTAAGGAGAGCTTCCTCTTGCTCTGCCCCTTCCCATCTCAAATGGCCGCTTCCTGGGGAGATGGGTTCGTTGCGAGGCTAACTACAACGTTACAGTGAGGATGAGGAATCCTCTTTAGTCCCGTAGGTATTTGCTGCCAGGCCGCAGCGTTGATTTCAGAAATTGTATTTAAAAAGGAAAAAGAAAGGAAATCCGTATTCTTTAACATACTCTCTTTTCTCGGAGAGTAGATGTAGGAGCTTCAGCAGTGCCCTTCCTCCCGAAAGGCTTCCCAGTGTCTGCTCAGACACTGAGGAGGAAAATAGAGGAGAGCCACCCGATATAAATAAAGGCAAGAAGGGGTTATGGATTAAGAGAAACCCACATCCTTAATTGCCAAGCCGGTAGCGGCTCTGGTGACGTGTCCCGTGGGTGTCTGTGCAGTGACGGGGCTGCCTCACCCCTGTGTACCCCAGGACAGACATTGGGGCTCTTTGCTGCTACCACAGGCGCAACCTGCGGGTCCTGGGGCAGGCAGGATGAGTGCTGCTGGGCCCGGAGGGTAGGCCTGGCCTGAGAGGAGACAGTAAAGGAGGCAGGTTTGGGGCTTAAAGCAGGCTTGTCCTGCCCCAGCCTTCTCCGGAACCTGTGTGCCTGGCTCTGGAAAGCCGTGACAAGACATCAAATGACTCGCAGCTTGCCAAGAGAGCTGCGGTGCTGGAGGAATGGCCGCCTCAAGGGGCTGAGGCCAGGCACCATCACGGGCAGGACTCGAGAGACGAGGCACGATCTTGGCACAGACACAGAAGGGAAGGGGAAGCACTGCTCTGCTGGCCCTGAGCGGTGCAGCCCCAGGAGAAAAAAAAATCTGTGTTTCCTTAGGCTGATGTCCACGCTGAAGGTGCAGAAGGGTTCCGTGCTGTTGCTTGGGTCAGCCTTGTTGCCAGGTTGGGAATGTTTAGCCTCCCGGTGCTTCGGTGCTGTTGGGCTGCACTCAGAGTGTGAGCTCTGGCCCTGTGGCCCGACCCCTGCTCGGGCGGAGCAGTGAATTGAATTTGGTGCTGGGTGGCGAGGTGGTGTTGGGGGAAGAGCTAGGCTAAGGAGAGCTTCCCTCTTGCTCTGCCCCTTCCCATCTCAAATTGGGGGGCTGACAAAGCCCCCAAGAGAGATCCAGGTACTAAACGGGCATCTGGATTGGATTCCTGGGTTTTGTATTTAGTCTTTCTGTTGTCCTTTTCCAGTGATGTTTCTTTTTGCATGTTGGCTGAGGTCGTAATCACTGGGATTCAAAGTTACCTTTCCTGTCTTGTTTTGAACTGTGAACCTGAAGTTGACATTCTGCAGCCTCCCTAATTCGTTCTGTTTCTGTTTTGCAGTTCAAGTTGCCAAGTCTCTGAAGGACAGGCTGGGATTACCTCCTAAACAGACCAGTACTGAGAGAGGTAACAGCTAGATATTAAATATGCTTTCTCCTCCTCCCTTTCCATGAACTTGGACTGCTTTCATCCATCCCTAAAAACTAATGTAAACGAAAACAAAGAACTGATGCCTCTTGCTTGAGTGCTGAAGCTCTTCTGACAGCCACTATCAGAAATCTGGCTCTAGGTGTGTGTTTCTTTTCTACTTGTGCCTTGTCAAGGTTTTTAGCTGCTTCTGTGAACCGTTACGTACCATTAGAATAGAACCACTGCCAGGAGCAGGAATTTGAAATGCAGTCTGAAAAAGTAATAAAGTAAAGCAGCATTTCTGTGTAGCAGTTCTCTCTGGGTAGGGCTGGTCTTCAAAATACAAGTGGCTCAGAGGAGGAGGAGAATGTTGTTCTAAGGATATTGTTCTAAGATGCATTATTGGGAACACTCCAGATTAGTTTTCCTTAGTGCTCTGACAAATTTTGGAGACTTAAAATATTGCTGGACTCTCTTGAAATGTTGGTGCTTCTCCTCATTTCTTGATGATGACAGGGAAGGCTGCTAAGCCGATGGGAGAGATCCATGTGAAAACACTGGAGGAAATCCGTCGTGAGAAAGCTCTTCAGAGACGCGAAACTCAAGCCAAAGGCGAGGCTGAAGGGCATGGTAAAACTGAAGATTCCAGCGCAGGGGCAAGACCTGCTCGTGCAGGTCGCATCAAAACTTTCCCTGAAGCCTTGTCTGAAAACAAGAATAATCGCTTGGTAGAAGAGAAGAAAAAAGCAGGAGAATCCCCTAGCAAGAGCAAAATTCAGGGTGAGTCCAAGAAGCAGCTAGCTCTGTCCGGGCGAATGGATTGCACATTGTAGCCTTTCTCTCTCTCTCTCATGGGACACAAGGATGCACAAATGCACAAAGGAAACAAGTACCCAGCTTTCTTTATTTCTGCCGTTGACAAAACTTTTTTTTGTCTTTTTTTAAAGCACCTGAAAAAGAAGAAAAGAAGGCAGTGAAATTGAACCGGCCTTTTCCTACCCTTTCCTCTGTAGCTGATGTACGGGTGAGTCCTCTGTGAAGACACACATCCATTCGTACAATTTCTGATAATTCTGCCAAGTTTGGTTACTCACCGTGTGCCACCCTCTTGAGTGTGTTCTTACCCTTCAGCACCTGCTAGGAGCTGCAGTGCAGTCTAAATCCTATCGCCAGCAGCATTTCCAGACAACTCTGTAATCCCCAAACTTGGAATCAGTCTGTTTATACCACAGCAACAAAGAAACCCTGTTAGCACCAGCTGAAATCTACACGGTTAACGTGGAGGGAATTCTTTTTGTTCTTACTGCCTTGAGCTGTCAGACGTGAAGGATTTAATACGGAAGGCCAGAGTTCTGTGTTGAAGGAAATCAGTCTGTCAGTGGATACTGTATAGGGGAACTTGTATGACTTTCTGCTGCTTAAAAAGAATGTGATAAATAGATGTACAGCAGAACACCCTAGCTGTTTAAAGAAGCTTGCCACAGTGGATATTGCAGATATGCGAGACTGTGTCCATAGTAAAGCATGGCTCTTGTTACATGCAGAATTTTATGGAAAAAAAACACAAAAACAACAACAGTAACCTGAAGGATATTAATATGCTGTTCCACATCAAGACCATTTTGGAGGGATTGCTGATCAGATTTTCTTAATGAAATCTCCACGCACGGATTTTATTTTTTTTTTTGTCCTATTCATGCACTACTTTTCTTTCCTTCTAGCCCACGCAGCAGAGTGGAACTCGTAAATGTCCAGAGAAGAGCTTTGAAGAGAGCCGTTGGGAGAAGTGGCAACAGCGAGAACAACAAGAGAAGCTTCGGAAGGAGGAAGCTGCTGTCAAATCTACTGCTGGCTTCTTTAATACTGAACCAGCAGGGAAAGTGGCAGCTCAATTTCAGGGCCAGGAAGCTAAAAGTAAGTGTTGAAGGTTAAGAGTTCCTTAGGTTGTCTTCTGAAATACAGACAGAAGATGACGATTCTCATGCTGTAACTCTGGCTGGGTGCATTTTGCCACGCAATGCTACGAAGCGAAGTGTGTACTTTCTTTTTCTTAGTTTGTTTCTTTTCCTGCCAGCCAGATGTTAGGTAAGGAACGGGAGACTAGAAAATGACACGACAAATTTGGACGGTGTAGAACAACTTAACTGTGGGACATCACTGCAAGGGAGAGGAAGCTGGTACAACAGTTGCATACACTCTTGTCCTACTCTAACTGCTGCTTTTTCCTTTCCTAGAGGGAGCAGGACTTTAACTATAAAAGCTGTCTAGATTTGTGAACCTAGCTGGCACTTAGGATTGCTATGTGTCTGAGGTTTCCCTTGTCCTGGATTATTATTTACTGTAGCTAT